GAGTTTGGGTATTTTCTATGTACAATATGTATGTATTTACAATCGAAGGGAAGTCACATGCGGGGTTCCCCAGGGATCGGTCTTAGGACCACCTCTGTGGAACCTCGCGTATGATGCCGTTCTGAGGACCAGCCTTCCCCCAGGATTGAGCGTCGTCTGCTACGCAGACGATACTCTAGTACTGGCTGGGGGGCATGGCTTCCAGGAGGCCCTTGAGCTCGCCGAGATAGGGGTGGCTTGTGTCGTCCAAAGCATCAGCGATCTGGGACTAAGGGTTGCACCTCATAAGACGGAAGCCTTATGGTTCCACAGGAAACGCAGAGGTGCAGTTCCCACCCGCTCACTTATTAGCGTGGGGGGAACAGAGGTCGAGGTTGGCCAACACATAAAATACCTTGGCCTCACCCTAGACAGTCGCTGGAGCTTCGGGGAGCATTTCGAGCGGATGATCCCCCGAGTTCGTGGGGTGGCGGGCTCCCTACAGAGGCTGTTGCCTAACCTAGGGGGTCCGCGGGAGGAAGTTCGTCGCCTCTATTGTGCGGTGATACGATCCATGGCCCTATACGGAGCGCCGATATGGGCCAAGCGCCTATCGGCCTCCTCCCGCTGCCGAGCTAAGCTCAATCAAGCGCAGCGGATAGCGGCCATTCGGATCGTACGAGGGTACCGCACTATTTCGTCGGAGGCGGCGACAGTCCTGGCACGTTTCCCGCCCTTTGATATCCTGGCAGATATGGACGCGAGGGTCTATGACCAGACTCGCGCGATCCGCTGGGGTGAGAGCGGGGAAGACCAGGATGCGCTCGAAATGCGGCGGAACTCTCACCAACATGCACTGGTGCAGTGGCGCGTGCGGCTGGAACAGCCACAGAATGCACGCCAACGCGCTGTCAGCGCTGTTCTGCCTAACCTCGAAGCCTGGGTAGATAGGGAGGGAGGTCGCGTCACCTATCGACTGACGCAGGTACTCACTGGGCATGGTTGCTTCGGTGAGTACCTGAATCGTATCGGACGCGAGGAGACGGCACAATGCCAGCACTGCGCAGCCGACTGGGACTCCGCCCAGCACACGCTGGAAGACTGCCCCGCGTGGGCGTCTGAACGCGAAGTCCTGGTCGGCCAAATCGGAAGAGACCTGTCCCCGACAGCAATCATTGCTGCCATGCTGGCGGGTGAGGAGGGATGGGGCGCTGTGGTCTCTTTCTGTGAAGCTGTAATGCTCCAGAAAGAGACCGCTGAACGGGATCGGGAGAGGGCCGATCCCGAGCGTAGAGGACGTCGGCGACCATATCAGCCGCCGACGGGGCCGCGGGCCGCCAGAGAGTGGGGACCTCTGGTCGCTGACTGAATGTCGCGGTACTGGATAGGATGGCGGCCTGATTGCATTAATACGAATTTGGGCCGCCACGTCACGATTGAGGGAGAAGTAATTTTCCCCTGGGATAGGGCCTGACTAGGCATGGTGTCAATTCGGGGAGGACCTGAAATAACATGGTCCAGGTCCTCTCAGAGTAGGGCACCCGAGGCCGGCCGTCGGGGTGGTTTTTAGTGGAATCACCACATACTCCTAGCTCCTAGCCCCGAGGAGCAGGAGATCCGAAGGTATTTTCCACCCCGTTAACAAAAAAAAAAAAAATGTATGTATTTACAAAAAAGTATATAAGGATTCTATCAGTCAGTCTAGTTTTCATAGTACAAGCTCTGCTTAGTTTGAAACTAGATTGCGTTGTGTGTTAGATGTCCAAAAGTATTTTTATTATTATTATAAATTTGAACAAACTCAATTAGACTTTACACTTTACTAGTAAGTTACAAGTGTAAGCTTAGATTGGGAACCAGGGGACCCAAATATTCATATGTTTCTGGTTCACAAAAATAATATTTGTAAAAAGCCTGAAATACACGAATAGTGCATAAAATAACATAATAATGATTTTATTTCGAGTAACTGTGACTTCCAGTAATTGAGTGGTACAATATTAAACATTAAATAAACTGGAGACTTTTTCTTCACTTTAAAATAAATAAAAACAAATTTAAGGAGTCACTTTTGGCCTACTTAGAAAAAGGATGCCAGAAGGAACCCTTATTATGAAATTACATAGTTGTTAGACTGACTCAAACACAAACTCAAAATATATATATTTCATAAAAAAAAGAAATTGGATGAAATCGACTGCTTGTCTGTAGTGACACTGAAATTTTCAAAACCAGTTCACACCACTGAGGAGCCTTTATTTTAAGGGAGATTTTTGCGCACATACTCTGCTAGGGGGTTTTTCATGATATCTCCCTTTTTACCCGTCAGTAAATGCTATTTGATCTTTTCGATTTTAACTCTTTTCAAATTGATGGGATTTGCCAGTTTCGAGGCGGTTAGTAGGAGTCTATGCTGAGATATAAGCGGTTCCCCTAGGAAATCTTTTCATCTTTTATTTGTTTCAGATCTTTTTTGTCTATCAAAATGTAATCTATTTGATATATTATAAGATGTTCGTCTTTTTTTCTGAAGAAAGTGTCTACAACTGCAAGATTATGAGCAACTGCAAATGCCAATATTGTTGCTCCTTCTTCGTTTTGGTCCCCGAATAAAAAGTCTGATATAATGATAGCTCTCATAGCACATGTTCATTCCCACATGGCCATTTAGGTCCTCACATATGATCTTTTGCGCCGCTAGAGATATCGCTGTTAGGTGTGCTCGAAGTTCCTCCCAGAAGTCTTGTTTCTCTACTTCTTGGTAGTTAACTTGTGGTACGTAGACAAACACAATATTAGGACAATTTACCGATTAAACCTATTCATTCATCATACCATACTCTATTTCATCATCATCCTATCATACATAGGTCTCTTCCATTGCACGCTACTTAGATCGATTTTCGGCTATTTAGACAATTTTAATAGGAATGGTTAGGCAAGATACATGTTCTTCATTTATCTGTATGTACAAAAATATTAAGTTGGTTTGTTTAAATTTCAAAAACTGAAATAGTTCTGAACTGAATAAGCCCAAAGTTGGACACGACATACAACCTTTAAAGAGAAAGAGAACCCGCTTTAAAGATTGGTTTTATCTAGTTTTGTGCCTTATTTCTTATCTATCCATACACTCTTTGACTATTGATAGTTATCTTCGTAAGTTTATAACAAAATATTTTAAAAAGGTTCTTGATAGAATTTAATTAATATTCTAAAATTTGTAAGGTATCATATAATTTATACATTATTCTTTGCTACAATCCACATTAATTATTCATCATCTTAAGTAAACGAAAATTATAAACCTCTTGAAACTTTTCAAAAAGAAACATTAGACTCTTACAATTTTACGAATAGAATTACACAAAGAGTTGTTGGAACTTATTGTTAGGATTAAAGCTCTTATGATACTGTAACGAGCGAGGTATACAATAAATAAAAGTTTTACAGTATTTACAAACACTCACTATTACAAACAAGAAATCTCTAAATAACTCGTTAGTCGCACTAGAAATTCACTTCGATGTCAATTCGCAGTGTCGTGTCGCAACACGCTCCGCTTTTATAGTGCTATCGAAATTACTAAAATGATCCCTAGTATTCGACAGTCCGTTCCAGACAAATAAGAATTTTTCAGTATCAGTTTTTTTTCAGCCATCTAGCGCTGCAAGTATCAGAATTATTACTCACAATATCAATAGTTTTACTTCCGGTGATACTAGATGGCGCTGTCCTACACATTCCATACAACTCTCGAACAGTAGAACTATTTAATTCTATGGCGCAAAAATACGATACTTTTGTAAAAACGGTTTACACAAATACTCGTATTTACGATAAATCAACACTAGAAAATTTCTTTTCGCATAATACTTGGTCGCATTATTTTATGTTGCTGCAAAATGTTCTCTATAGATCTTCCTCCGAGTTTTTTCCCAAACTCGGTTGGACGTTATGTCTACTACGATACGGCCGAACTTCGATATTTCAGGCGGAGCAACTGCCATAAGACCTCCACAACCTAAGTACTCGTACTAGGCGATATCGAAGTTCTGTAAAGATACTGTTGTCGAACTTTTTAGGGCTCTAACTACCCGTAACTACTGGCTCAGATATTCGTATGGCAACCGGGATTAGCGGCTTAACGTATTCTCCGAGGCACAATGTGTTAAGAATGGTAACCCATCTCTAGACTGACCTGGTTAGGAGAGGATTACTTCATATACTATCATTCATATACTATCTTTGCAATATGTTCACCTACTCAGTTAAAACTTAGCCAAGAACCACTCTGAAAAATTAACCCGATCATTTGTTTTTGTTCTAACTTAAACTAAAAATCATCATTACCACTATTCGTGAGGGCCTTTTAAAATGTCCCACTAACTGCATAAATCTTGCCTCCTATGAGTGGTAGTTAATCAAATTGGCAAAATGTGGTTGTTTGATACGCTTATACATTCGGGGAAACAGGCGTGAGTGTATGTAAATATGAGTGTGTATGCATATATACTAACTCATACATACTTTTCGTTAAATCATATAAGTACATTGTGGGTTACTAATTCTGTTTGTTTTAGATCAATAAAGTAATATTTAAAACGTAATCGATGTATTTATTTACTTCAGTGAGGAATATGTAATGGTTTTTATATAAAATTGCAATGCTTACGTAAATACTTTAATTATTTATGTAAAAGTGGTACATCCTATCTAAAACGTAATCAACCTATAATCGTAATATAACATAAACTTTATTATATAGTAAACTTATTTACCGTACAACATCATGGTCACTAAGATAGGCCGAAACTTTTAAGATTCATCAAGTCGACTTCTATCAATATTTTCGTGCTCATTTATCAATGTTTTTGAAACGTGATCTGATTTATCAGGCTTTTCAAAATACGCTTCGATTTCTTGTAAAGTTTTATCTTTAGTCTCTGGTAAGTACAAGTATAAAATTATCAGAAATACAGATGATGACACAGCGTAAAATAGAAATGCTCCCCGCAAAGTTAACGCCTGAAATATATACGGAGAAACTTTTAGAATTGTAGCCATTAATAATTCAGAATATAGTGTTATCAAAAGTAAAGATGAACTTCTGTATTTCAAAAATACCAATTCGCCAAAGAAACAACCAGGTAATACCACTACTTATAGAAACTGAAAATCCTGTCAGAAGTGAAATCGTCAAGATTTTATTCTCAGATATTACACCCAAGCTAATTAAATGTAAGTACAATGATATGTTTATTAAAAATATTATGCCGATTGATGAAGATACTACAAGTAAAGATTTTCTTGTGACTATTTTTACAAAAGCACATCCGACTTGCATTCCTATAACTGTAATTCCATCTATTATAAGCATACCTATGTAGCTTGAGGTTTCATTATCTGTTATTTGCTTAATTAGTTCTACTGCGTACATTCCACAGACCACTTTTCCCGATAAATGATACAATGACATGACTGCTATACACAATAGCAAAGGTTTATAAAATCCTTCTGTTGATATTGTTTCTATGATACACTTGAACTGATTACGATATGATTTTTTCTTTCGCTGGTTATACATTTTGAGATATTCTTGTTGTACATTTATGAGATTGGCGAGCTCAGTCTCAGAATTCTTGTCGAATCCATTTAGCCAATGATGTGCTGCTAAGCTCTCATCAAACCGTCCCTTCATTGCCAACCAGGATGGTGATTCGGGCCAGATAAATGCTGTGAGAGAATATAATGCACACAAGAATGCGATAATACCAATGTTCTTCCAGTGATAAAACGTTCCCGTTAAATTTGCAACCCATACCCCCAAAAAGAAAATTGTTGACTCGACAGCTAGAAACATTCCTCGATATCTTGTTGAAGTATACTCGGTAACAATAACTACCAGCAATGTAATATTGCTCGCGAGAAGCATGCCTTGCATTATCTCACTAATTAGTAGTTGCATAGTGTTAATACTACAATAAAACACTATAACGCCAACTAATGTATTTGTGCATACTATTAAAAATGATATTTTTCTACCCACTAACCGTGAAACTATGGGTATAATAAGGACCCACGGTATCGCGCTGTAGCCGTGCACAGAAGCTGCAAAGAAAATAACTTAACTTTAGTACAATTGGCATTTACTTTACATAATTATACACACATACATTTACATATATACATATATTTACATACATACATTTACATACATACATTTACATACATACATTTACATACATACATATACATACATACATTTACATACATACATTTACTTTGAATAATTATCTTGTTTTTTAATAAAATTAAAAAACCTTATCATGGTTTAAAGAATACCTATTAATTACTTTGTAAGCTATCATACCACATTGTGTAAACTAGATGATAACATTATAGTTACCTACATATATCTTATGTACAGATATTTATTATTTTGTTTACTAATAACAGTTTAAAAATAATCTATTTGTCCTCATTCAATGTCATTGCAACGATGTACATATGTGTTTGGCGCAACAAGAAGCGTACCACACACTCAATGGAAAGATCATTTTAATGCCCGTAATTGCTTGAAGGCTCTTAAATTTTTCATGTATGCATAATGCACCTTTACAAACAGGTGGACGCGTAGCTTTCACTCGTGGTATTAATGAACAAAAATCAAAATATAAACCAAAATATTAACGACTTAATAATCACAAGCAATTTTTCTAATATAATACACAAATGCCATATCACGTATAAAAAGTAGATGACCTCCTATCAAAAGTCGGGTTAAAAATTAACAATGTAGCCTTATCAAAACTGAACTTTAACACTATTGCACGTTATAAATTCATATTTGTAGCGTAGCACAGTGTGTGTTGGTTAAACTGTGTTTACTTGTTGATAAAAACAGTAAATTATAAAATATGTTAAAAATTTTATGTATGACAGAGCTTAATCGCAATCAGTAGTGTTTAATCGTGAATTAAATTATTGATATTAGTTCATCTAAGGTTAGTAATGTACTCCTAACTCAGGATAATACAGAAAATTCACGTAAAGTAAGTAATTTGAAAGGTTTGGTTTTTCCCTGTTTTGATGATAAGGCAAATTTACCATTGGGTAAAAGTAACCAATACCCAGATTATCTTAGAGTAGTCGAAAACGAGGTCATAACCGACCCTCAATAATGTGCCATGTCTTACTATTTCGCATTACTATCCCTTAGCCTGGCACGTTGGCCATTTTCGATATCTGATACAAACCTACTCGCAAGTAATCGCAAAATGGAACGCTTTTTGTTACACTGACAAATATTAAAATATATCTAATATTCTGTAGGTGATAAATCGCGTCTCGAAAATTATTTTATTTTTAAATTAGTATTAGTTTCTTTAGGGTAGTCATCATCATCAGCCTATCGCAGTCCACTGCTGGACATAGGCCTCTCCCATTGCACGCCACTTAGATCGATTTTGGGCTTCTAGGGTAGTAAAATAGTCTTAACCATTCTCATCGATTTTTTTTATAGACATAAAGCACAAAAAATAACATAAGGCGATCTTTTAAGACAAATATTTCAAAAGTTTTACCTAACCATGATGCCATATCATCAGTGAGGATGTTTGTGAAGTTTGACTCCTTCCTTATTTGCGGAATAAAGACTGTTGGCGCACCAAAAGATAATCCGAGCACGAAATATATGGAAGCGACACCGCTAAACACGAATAACTGAAAATAAAGAAATAAAATAAAGAAAATAAAGATTATTCAACAGCTTAGTGAAAACTACAGTAACAGTGTTGAGAAAAAAAAATGGTTTAGCTCTAACATTCCGATGATTGCTATCATCGGAATGTTACAGCTAAACCATTTTTAGAGGAATATAGGTTGCATTAAATTCAGTTAAAGTCCTACTTGTATCTATTTATTTTTGAAGGAGATTGCCAAGTACCAATATTAACCCAATTGTTTCACACAACGACTAACTTACTTGGTAAGTTAAAAAGTAAAAAGCCAGGTAATAGCTTTTTATCTATTCAAATGAACATTATAGTTTCATACTCTTACTTATAAAGGTAGTACATACTCTTATAAAGGTAGTGAAAAACAAACCTGTCTCATTAAAGGTTTCCACGTCGCATTGTTGCGCATTTGAACTTCATCAATGTTGACTTCATTGTAATTATAAGTGTCCATAGTGAATACACAATCACTTCACATTTATGTTTATTTCATGTTCAAGTCACTTTACGATAACTATTAAAATACAACATTAATAATTATTAAAATAAATACATGAATATCTGATAACGAATAGTGAAGCAACGATTTTCAAATCACCAACGAATTGAATTATAGTTTTTCTTGATTCTCATTATATATTTATCTTTTTTTTTCTTGGATGCAGGCTATAGAGCACCGGTTGATGTTTAGAGCCGTGGGGAAGACCTGTGTATAGGAGTGGATGTCTTTCAGCTGAGATGATGATGATTATATAAAAACTCAAAAAGTTCTGTACCCATGGAGTTCAAATTTTAACACAATATACAACCTGCTTCAAAGATTGTTTTTATCTGTATTCCGGATCGCTACTGACCGTCAGACACACATTTTTTAAACAAATTATGAAAGAATACTACATTTCTTCGTGAATGTTGACATACTTTGTACTTTTATGCGTTTTATTTGTGTTAATATTCACGATCCATTGTATTTACACGTTTATGTATGTACCTATATTTATACATATTTTTTGAGACGGACAGACGGGTCCCCTCAAAAATCTTATACTATGTGTGACTTAACTTTAATGAACGACTGGATGGCGTAGTGGTTTGTGTAACGGACTGCTATTCCAGAGGTCACGGGTTCGATTCCCGCTCAAGTCAAATATTTGTGTGCATAAACATTTAATGTTTTTTATTTGGTCTGGGTGTTTCTATGTATAATATGTATGTATTTACAAAGAAGAAAGTATATATGTATTTATGTCGGTTGCCTAGTACCCATAGTACAAGCTCTGCTTAGTTTGGGACTATATGGCGTTGTGTGTATGCGGTAGAATATATTATTATATATATTATTATTAATGTTAGTCCGTTTAAATTACCTAATCAGCCACCTTGCCTCATCCATTTCCGCCTATCACGTGGGGTACCTATCTAACTAATTGGGACAGGTGAATTTCTGGTAGGTACTAAGTACCTACCTACGTGTGTTTTTTATTTTTACCTATCTATCTAAATATATATTCTCTGATTGAGAATTAATCACAATCACATGTTGTCTACTTTATTACCGTGATTTAAGTAGTATGTTGCTAGATTTCAATGAACAATCGAAATTTTTAAATGATAATTTGAGTTTCGGTTACGGTTTCTGCCGAAACTGAAACACTCATAAATAATAACATTTGAGGGCATAAAGTTTGGTTTCGGTTTCGGCTGAAAAACCTGTTCCGGATAGAAAGCTATGAAAAGATGACATTATAATTAATAATGATGTTTAAATATACATAGACGAATTCACAAACAAATATTTATAAAATATGCATACAGAATAAAATAAAAACCATAACATTTGAGGTGACGATATCATGAAAATATTTCTGCCAGCTAATTCTTGTAAAATTTTGGAAAACAAGTCAAATAAAGTTCTAACGAGATAATTTTTTCCAAATGCGGAATATCCGTTTTATATAATTTTCTAATCTAGTTCGTTCGGAACCACGGAGCGCAAGGGCATTACCTACTTTTTCCTTTTTGAGCCCTTATAACTTGGGTTTGGGTCATTCTAGATAAACAAAATTCTCGGAATATGATGTTAATAGTGGATTTCTTATACATATAATGTTTCAGTAGCATAGCTTTTATATTTCAATTTTATTGATATCTATAAAACGCCGATTTAGTCACTAAATCACTGATGATCATCGAAATTCTTAGAGTACTTCCTGAAGTCCTATAAAGCTGAAGTTTCGTATGTAAGGTAGTATTATTACATAAACAACAAAAAAACCCTTAACTAAAACTAAACTAAGGGATGGAAGTTTGTATGAGACTTCTGCAAATTTTGAAACTAGAGGTCTAAAAATTCATTGTTACAAATAATGACATAAGCAACTTACAAAAAGAAGTGAAATCAAACCATAAACATTTTCATGTAAAATGTTGCCAAGACGAGACCATATGGTTCCCACTGTCAAAAAGTTATCAGATCACATGTAGAGCCAAGCTTCTAACTCTGCAAGCCCTAACTTCTACAACAACTTAGTCAAAATATGTGGCATGGCCCTTTAGGTCTCTTATATGGTTTCGTCTTAGCAAAAATTTTATATAAAAATGTTTTTGGTGGGATCCTGAAATCGTGTGACAGAGCACATTTAACCTACCTATATATATATCTATATATATCATCATCGGTACAATCGATTTGGACTTGTTGTTTACGTTAATATTTATTAAAACCAATTGATTCTACCGTCTCAAACACAGCATCTCGTCTTTATTAATCACTCAATTGGTAAAAACATATTGAGTGCAGGTATTATATAAAAACATCAATGGAAAATTTGGCTTGGGTTTTTTATCGATGACAAAAAATCCATTACTACGCTGCTTGTTCAACAGCTCATGGAACTTTGAGCTCCATCTCTCTTTCACCGCAAGGTCCAAGCATAACAGGCTACACCTTGAATATTTCACACAGCCGCACTTGGCAATATTCTATGCCGCTTTTAATCCTATACATCAGCTTCTGCCCTTCTAGTAGTGGCCCTTTTTTTTTTTTTTTTTTTTTTTTTTTCCGTGCGGAAATCCCCTCGGATACCACCTGTCGGTGGCATGTCGGACTCGAACCGACTAAAACCGCACGCCTTCGCCGGGTACTAATAGCCGGGGAACCAGGTATACCCTAGAAAGGAAGGCCCTGGTGCCCCGACATACCTCGGGTCATCTACAGACGAGTAGACGACCCCCGCCCCGTGTGGGAACCCCATGTTCCCTGTGCTCCCTGGAAGCGAGCGCGCTTCGCAACGCGCTCGCCGCCACCCCGGCCTGCTTCTGCTAGGGTGACAGATGGCCTCACCTGTCACCCCCAGGCCTGCGCTTATGGAGGACGAAGGTCGTTCTGCGACCTCCGGCGCCTGAGTCGCCTGCGCTGCCTGGCCCGTGCCCGGGCCTGGCGGGCCGGGAGAGTTCTAAACCTCTCCCGGTCCCGCTCCGCCGTCTCCTTCGCGAGCATAACTTGCTCGCAGAAGGAGACGGCAGAGTTCCACGCACTCTCGCTCCGCACGATAGCCGCAATCAGGCTATCGAGCGAGAGAACTCCCACTCTCTAGTAGTGGCCCTAAATTTGAATCCTTTTAGAGAGGTTGTAAGTAGTCAAGTAGTAGTCTGGCTCTGGCTATAGCTCTCTTTGTGGCACGCTTTTTGCAACCATGTACGCGTCGCGGTCTTTGGGAAATCCAGATGCTTGCCGCTTTTTAAAGAGGGCCTTCTTCACTCTAGTCTCAATTTTGAATATTGTTCAACCACCACTTGATCACACTTGCGTCCACTTTTAGTCTTTTAGAATCTTGTTCCAGTAATCCTGGACAGATTCGCTTTCAGTGTCAGCGCACTTGTCTCTGAGGCAAATCTGGCATCATCAAACAGTCACCACATGATTCGGCGCTGGCACTGCTCGACACGTTTATCTTTGGACTTTATACAGAGATCCATGACAAGGAAACGGTGTTGGGCAATGAGACTCTCTGCAGGTATGACATTTGCAGTTTTCCACTTTGCTGATGTGGTGTCTGCTTGTAAGTAGGAAATAAATTTGGGTGGCGAGGCCCCCGCTCCTGTGACGTGTCTTTAAGTGGTAAAGAGTTTACTATAACCTTGCAGTATTTGTTGTATACCATATCTTAGGTGTCATCTCATTAATATTCACTAACATTCCACTGCTGGTCATACACCTCCTCCTTAGAAACGAGGTTTCGGCCTACTATACCACGCTGGCATGACGGGTTGGTATAGGGTTGGAGGGGTGCTAGGCTAGAAAACCTCCCCGTGGTGCACCCTGGAAACGCTGGCGATGGCACTGCTTCCTCCTTGTCCACTTGGAGGAGAGGATTATCGCCAGCGGCTAATATTCCAGCAGAAGAGGTAGTCGTTCATCGGCTCTCGGGCAAGGCCTGGTCCAGCAGGGTGGGCGTGTCTGCCGGTTGCCCTGCTGGCTCTTCGCTCTTCGGAGCATGGAGGAGGAAACCTCGGTAAAAAACCAGATGGCGGGGCCCTGTAGGGGCCACAGTTTCTCCGCTGACAGCGGTGGAGAAAGGAGGACGGGCTCGGCGTGTACTGACACTACCACCGAGCAGGCAGGGGGACGTAGTCTCCCTGTCAACCCTCGGCATATCGTAATCCCGAGAAGAGCGCTGTGGTTAAGTCTCGCGGCTCTGATCGGGGGCGAGGGTCTTGGCTTAACCGCCCGGACCGCGAGTAAGATAACCTCTCTAAAAAATTCCCCGAATCTCGTGTTCTGGTGCGTGGCCGGGGGATGCATGGCTGATGGGAAGTTCAGTCTCGAGCGCACTCCAAGCCGAGGTACCTGCGGACCCCTCGGTTGGGTTAAAAACTTGCGCTTGCCCGGGTAATGGGGGATCTCTGCCTACAGGCGGCGCTCGGGCCCCCCAAGTTGGGAAGCAACGTTGAAAGCGCGCCCGCTGCACCCATCAGCTTGGGCGCCAGCCGCCGGAAGTGGGGCCCGAATTCCCATCGGCTGTCGAGCACCAATCCCAGATACTTCATGGTGGACTCGACAGCTATCCGGGCCCCGCTGACCACGATGTGTGATCCCGGCGCCGGCGCACGTCGGGGGCCATGAAACACCATGGCCTTCGACTTGTTTAGGGCCACCTCCAGGCCCAGGCGCCGGATGCGGTTCACCACCTGTGACACCGCAGCCGTGGCTATCAACGACGCCTCCCTGTGCGAGCTCCCCCGGGCAGTAACAAGCGTGTCGTCCGCATAACACGTCAAGTCGGCGCCCGACGGGAGCTCGCCTCTCAGCACCCAGTCGTAGCCGATGTTCCACAGGAGCGGTCCCAAGACCGATCCCTGTGGAACACCGCACGACATGAGGTGCCGACCAGCACCGTCACGCCCGATAGATGACGCATCTACCCTCCAGATAAGCCCCTACCGTACGGCGGA